AACCATTTTAATGAATGCAACCTAAATTTCCCCAGAAAAACTTGGAGACATGCTTCACACATAGAGTTTACTGGATATGGCCATCACTTAACTCTGCTGATAAAGGCTTCAGCTGACTTATCAGATCACTAATCTTGTTGAATGACTCCTGTATCCAAATCTATAGACTTTTCAAAATAACCATTATTTCAACGGAGTAAGCCTGCTCTGAAATCTGTTAATAGCCAAGTCACAGAGTTTATAAGCTATTTTTTTTTTAAGGTTTTATTTTTAGGGTCACTTAGATGGCTCAGTTGGTTGAGCAACTGCTCTCCGCTCTGGTCATGATCCCGGGGTCCTGGGATTGAGCTCCGTGTCAGGCTCCCTGCTGAGCAGCATCTCCCTCTTTCCCGCTGCTGCACCCTGCTTGTTTGCTTGCTCTCTCTTTCAGATAAATAAATAAAATCTTTTTTTAAAAAAGATTTATTTTTAGAGAGAGAGGCATAGCAGGCGTGTGGGGGGAGGGGTAAAGGGAGAGATACTCCCAAGCGACTCCACGCTGAGTGCAGAGCTGAACTTGGGGCTCAATCTCATGAGCTGGAGATCATGACCTGAGTTGAAACCACGGTTGGCCTCTCAACCAACTGCACCACCATGTACTCCAAGTTAATAAACTTTTTTTTTTAAAGGATTTTATTTATTTATTTGGCAGATCACAAGTAGGCAGAGAGGCAGGCAGAGAGAGAGGAGGAAGCAGGCTCCCCGCCGAGCAGAGAGCCCGATGTGGGGCTCGATCCCAGGACCCTGGGACCGTGACCTGAGCTGAAGGCAGAGGCTTTAACCCACTGAGCCACCCAGGCACCCCAAGTTAATAAACTTTTAAAGCCCAAATGAGTGCCATGACAAATACCTTCCACTTATAAGGCATTACCTATTATAGGCCGGCTGGCGATGTTAATGAATTCCATCTTTCCCCAAGGCATTATTTAAACTACATCACCATCTTCATGAACAGTTCTGGGAGGGCATTTCTGCCTCCCTGGTCGGTTAGACGTCACACCGTCAGCACACAGCACACAGCTCTGCAAGGGTGAGGACCACCCGCTCGCTCCTAGGCCCAGGCCCCACTCCCACCGCACATTAGCCTCATGGCTAGGGAAGTCTGCACCAGCAAGGCAATGGTGATCAGTTTCGTTTCCAGATAAGTTCACTGAACGAGCTCGTGAGCTGAGCTTGCGTTCCTGGCTCCAAGCTGGACTGTAACTGGGGATCCCTGGGCGGAGGGAAGGCGGGAAGCAGTGTGTACTGGTCAGGCGACTGTGTTTGTGGAGACAGCAGGCCTGAGCTCACATCCCAGCTCCAGCGATGAAGCCATAGCCTCGCACGCATGAGCCCACTGCTCCAAGTTCCTGGATCTTTACCAACAAAATCAGGATACTACTTCATAATAACCACTAATTTAATAACCATACGAGAGCTTTCCTTGTATTATCATCTCATCCAACCCTCACAACAGTTGTTTCCAGGGGTGGGTAGCGAACTTGCTCGAGTGAGGAAGGGTGCCAGTGTGTGAACCCAAGCTGTCTGGCTCCAGAACCTGGCTCGCTGGGGAAGCAGTTGTGGCCAGGGAAGTATTTCCCTGGAGAGTCTGATTCAGTAGAGCTGTGGTGAGGCTTAGGAGTCAGATTTTTAAGAAGTACACCGGCGGTATCCTCTGATTAAGTAAATTTGGGGAAATTATGCTGGAAAGAACATAAAAATAATACAAAAAAAATGACCCAATGCCCGACTGGCTGAGGGAAGACCCTGAGCCTCTTGCAGGACTAGTGAGGACATTTAGATGACTTCCTGGCTGGTGGCTTGGCCTGTTCTTTCTGGCAGGTTCCTGCTGAGGCTAGCTCCCTGCCCTGTGGCCTGGTCCTCTGAGCACCTTACCCGGACAACCTTTGGAATCAGAACTGGACTGGACCAAGCGCAGTGTGGACTGGAGTCCTGATCTGTCACTTCCTTTCAAGCCATGTCACCGGCTGAGTCACTTCCCATCTCTGAGCCTCAGTATTTTGATCTACAAGATGGAGGAAAGAGTCGGCTCACAGAGTTGGTAGGATTAGTAAGCTGAGGTGTACCAGACGGCTTTTAAACCTTTATTAACTGTCAAATGCTAAACAAAGGCAGGGCACATGTCTAACAAACCAGTCTCCCAGGAGTGGGAGCTCTGTCCTCACTGGCTGAAGTCCTGCCCATACATGCATTCGCTGCTGATGGGGGTGGTAGTGATGGGGTTGTGGGAGCAAAGGACTGGAGCTTGGGTGCCTGAAGAAGATGATCAGAAATGTCCAACAAAAATCACTTTTCTCCAAGATAAACTTTATTTTCCGACCTTCAGCTACATGCCAAGAAAATACTTAAATTGGCAAAAAAATTTTCTTCCAAATTTCTGCAGGTAACAAGTTAGCAGAGAATGTGTTTTTCATCAGGGACTTATTAACAAAGACCTTTAAACCTGGCTAAAAATTAACAATGGAAATTACATTATTAAACTGGAAACTTGCTGGTGACTAACACAACTCTAAAAGAGGCTTGAAAGAGGTAAGAAAGCTGGGTCACCCTGGTCTGCTTACTTGGGGCTGGGCAGGTGCAAAAGAGCCCGCCAAAGTCACTGTCTGGGGGACAGGACTGAACGCCCATTATGTGCCAGACACTAGGCTTTTAAGGCATTATGAGATGTGAAATCCTTATTTCAGTCCTCTAAGAAAATGCCGCTTATTTGTCGAGCTGCTCAGAAAAATCAAGCATCACCCCCAAGATAGCAGAGCCCAGAAGTGCTGCTTGTCTGTCTTTCTGTCACACTTCTGACCCGTGGGAGGCCAGGGGTGATGTGGCTGCCAAGGGTAATCACCCTAACCAGAGGAGCCTAAAAAGCCCATTTACTAATTTGTTTGGCTTTGGGCTGGTTGTCCACACACACCATTCCTTTCTCCATTCTCTCCACACAGGAGATCAAATTATAGACCAGAAGGCTGAATCCTGGGTAAAGAACAAGACTCCTTCAAAGTGAATTTCCACTCATCAGTGGCTTTCTGTTGCACACTCTCCTCTACTCCAGAGGGCTTTTCTAGAATCAAGAAAACATGGAGAATTATTGCCTTCTACCTGTCTCCCTGCTGGCTTCCTTCTCACCCTGTCTCCCACCCCACAATGCAGATCCACTCTTGGATTAACTTGAGAACATCCTGGGGACAGTGCAATCATCAGCCGTATTCCAGGCCTTAAGATCAACTTTGGGCGTGGGTTTCTTAATCACTTACTTAGGATGGGTGAAGTTCTCAACCATTTTTAAAAAAATTCTATTGGTTTTTACTTGAGATGGTGGCATCAGCCTCTAAAAATGTTAAAATACTACCAAACTGTATTCATTTGAGTATTTATTCATTTGAGTATTTATTTTACTACCCACTTGAAAGAGTCAAATCAGGTTACATATAATGTCTCTGAAAACATGGGACAAAGTAATAGCTAACTAAAACTTGGCAACTTTGAACTTTGTATATTTGCATAGGTCTGATACTTATTCTAACTTAACAACTTTTCACATGGTAGCTACGTCAGCCTTTTTCTGACTTATTGATACTGATTTCTTACCTTTAACCTCATATAAAAGGTGGGTTCCACCCATGACTATACTCCAATTAAATACATCTGACCATTGCTTGCACAGTAGGACGGGTGTAGATGCCATATTTTATTCTAAGGTACTGGACAGCAAAAAGTTTGGATGATGGACAGGCTCTTAGGGTCACTGCTGCTCTGGATAGCCTCTAAGCTTTTTCCCCAGGAAGTAAAAAAGGGGTGGGGGATGGATGCTTCCTCCCAGGTGGCACCCCTCTCTACCCATCCACATGAGATTTCATAAAACTTCTACAGAGTATTAAGAGCATTCTACATCTGACTGACCCTGAAGTTCAGCCAGCCTTTGCTATACGGGTTCCTCTCTGACAACTACAACCACAGATATGGCCTCTTGTCCTGAAGGCCCATGGGCTTAAAACACCTTAAACGCATACCTGGAGCGACGATACATAGGCCTAGACTAGAGAGGAACAGATAGATCTTTCCTTCCAAATTGTTGTTTTGTAAGCTAGATACCTGCAGTCCTAAAGGGAGAAAGGACCTACTTAGGTAGAGCCTCCACTCATCCTCCCCTTCTCTTCTTATACATCTTGCATGTCATGTCTGGGTCCAGCACCACAAGAGCCGCAAAGCCTCCTTATTTAATAACATACCCGGTTCCCACCTATTACAACACATGGAAACTGGGGATGGACAATAGAAGAGAAAATCAAGAGGCGCCCAAGTCAAACTCTAGAGGGCAAGGCAAAAGAAGGGATGATGAGTTTGAGAAAAGTACGAACAAAATGCAGTGGGTGTTCAGAAGGCAGTTGTCCATGAAGTGGTTAAGCACTTGAGCTATGCAATCACTCAGAAGTAGGCATTTTCATTCAGGTACTCAACAAATATTCATTGAGGGTCTACCGGATACAGGGAGGGATAGGTGAGCAAGACAAAAATAGGTCCTGGTCACAAGATGAGAAAAAAAACCAGCAAGGAAACAGTTAATTTCAACTGATGACAGATGCTATTTAAGATAAGAACTCAGGGGTAGCCTAACAAAAAACGCCTGCCTGAGGGCTCAGTTTGAGACAACACAGTCAAGGAAAAGCATCTTTGAGCAAATAACATTTAAGCTGAGACTTGGCCTTGCGTTACAGGCAGCCAACTGTGTGACCTTGTGCATGTTACTCAACCTTTCTGAGTACCACCATCTTTTGTATTGAGATCATAAAAGCAAAACCCACAACCTCACAGGATTGGAAGAATGTAAAAGTCAATGGACCTAAGTCACCTACATACACTTAGTGGATGCCATGGTTGTCATTCTGGGAAGGTTAGAGACCTGTGACACGTGGGAAAGATCAGAGAGCATGGAGAGATGCAAGGCCGGTCCAGGACCACTCTCTCACCTCTTTCCTGAAAGACTGCGGGTTCCAGGGCAGAGGCCAGGTGGTCTCCTTTCTGACCCCGGAGCCCAGCTGTGCGACAAGAGGAGAAGCCAAGGGCTAGGAATGTGGGGGCACGGGGGTCGGTAACACCCGGTCACCAGGCAAACCCTCGAGCCCGTAGCGCGGTGGCCTGTCCCCGCGGCAGCCATTTTGGGTGGCCTCACCGCGGGGAGTTTCGTCACGCGTCCGCCGGGCACAGAGTGGCAGGGCGCGTGCCGCGTGGATGGGTGAGCCCCTTCCCGTCCGGGGCGAGACGCACTCCATCACGTCGCTCAGGGGGACCTCAGGGGCAGGTCATGCTGCTGCAGGCGGGGAAGGTACCAGGCAGCGGGAGGGCAGGGGTCCCTAAGGTGCAGGGACCACCCCCACCCCCCAGCCCCGGAATCGCCGGCACGGCGCAGGGGCTCCCGACCTCCCGCCGGGGGAAGTAGGGGGGTGCTCTCCGCGCTGCAGGCCCGCAATCGCGCGCCCCCTCCCCGGCCCTCACCCCTCCGCGGGGCTCCCCGCGCACTCGCCACCCAGCCCTGCCCGAGCCGCCGCCAGCCACTCACCGCTCCCCGCCGCCCGCGCTGCTTGCAGCACCCGAAAAGCGCCGCCTGCGCCGCCACCGGAAGCGCTTCTCCAGCCAGAGCGGCCCTGCGCGCCGCCGCCGCCTGGTGCGCGCCCTCGGAGCGCGTCCCCGTGCGCAGGGAGCGCGGCCGCGTGGAGCCCCGCGCTCTCCCCCGTGCCCGCGCTTTCGCTGCTGGCTCCTCCCCGCGCGGTCAGCTTCCAGCTTCTTCCTCGAAGCCTTGTGAGGCTCTCTCTGCTCAGGCCACCGCCATTGCTTTCCGTTTGGGTTTCTCCGAGGGCACTGTGCCCTACTCGATCATTTCTTTATTGCCAGGATCTTGCAGAAAGTCCGCAGCCACCCATTCACTCACTCATTTGCTCATTTAAACCCGTGTTTCCCAAATTGTGGAGTGTGTTACACAAGGCAATTTTAGGCGCTAAAAGGGCCACGAACTGACTTACGTCTTTGAAAGAATGGCTCTGGGCGTCTCCTTCAGCTCCGGTCATGATCGCGGGATTATGGTTCTGGGGTCGAGCCCCGCATTGGGCTCCCTGCTTAGTGGGAATTCCCCCTCCTTGTGTTCCCTCTCTCACTGTCTCTCTTTCTGTCAAATAAATAAAATCACAAAATAAATAAGAAAGAAAGAAAGAGAGGAAGAAAGAGAGGAAGGGAGAAAAAGAAAGAAAGAAAGAAAGAAAGAAAGAAAGAAAGAAAGAAAGAAAGAAAGAAAGAAAAGAAAAAGAAAAGAAAAAAGGAAAGAAAAGAATGGCTCTGGGTACAGTATGGAAAGGTCATGAAGCAGCAAGAGGCCAGGAGGGAGGCTACCCCGTTGGCTTGGACCCGGCTGATACAGCTGAGGTGGTGAGAATTATTGGGTTTTTGGGTATATCTTGGGGGCTGATGAAATCTAATATATGGTGAATCACATCATGTTCATGGAGAAGATTCTATTTTTTTGAAGTAGTAAATTCTTCCTCAAATAACCTAGAAATACAATGCAATTCCAAACAAAATTCTGACAAATCCAGTGTGTTTAAGAGTGTGTCCCTACAACTTGATAACTATAAAGCGTATATGGAAAAATAGCGAGAAATAACCAAAACAATTTTGAAGAAAAAGTAAGGTGGAGGGGTGCCTGGGTGGCTCAGTGAGTTAAGCCTCTGCCTTCGGCTAGGTCATGGTCTCAGGGTCCTGGGATCGCCCTGCATCGTCCAGGGAGCCTGCTCCCCAACCACCCCGGCCTGCCTCTCTGCCTACCTGTGATCTCTCTCTCTCTCTGTGTGTCAAATAAATAAATAAAAATCTTAAAAAAAAAATAAAGTAAGGTGGAGTGACTCATCCTAAAAATATGAGGAGGTAGTGTGTTTGTGAGGGATCAACAAATAGCTTAGGACAGCCAGAGAGAGGTACCTGACACAGACCCTGCTCGTGCAGAAACGTGCTCTGAGCTGGCATCCCAAGTGAGGGGGCAAGGATAAATACTCACTCAATAATACTGGGGCAATTGAATCTCTACCTTATACCGTACACGAAACTCAGCTCCAGATGCATTAAAGACTAGAGTATGAGAAACAAAACTCCCAAGTTTTTAGCAGACAATATAGGATGGTATGTTTATGACCCTGGGATAAGGAGACATTCTTTTTTTTTTTTTAAGACTTTATTTATATATTTGACAGACAGAGATCACAAGTAGGCAGAAAGGCAGGCCGGGGGGGGGGGGGGGGCGCCGGGAGGCAGGCTCCCTGCTGAGCAGAGAGCCTGGTGTGGGGCTAGATCCCAGAACACTGGGATCATGACCTGAGCCGAAGGCAGAGGCTTTAACCCACTGAGCCACCGAGGTGCCCCAAGGAGACATTCTTAAATAAGCACAAAAAGCACAAAAATTAAAAAAAAAGATTAAAAAGTTAAACCTCAGGAAAACTCAGAAATTGAGTTTGATAACTCGCCAATGAAAGCACAAGAGAAGTGAAAAGTTCATGGACCGGGAGGAAATATTTTCAATGTGCGGATATGGTAAAGAATACCTACCCAGAAAATATTACCAAAAATTGTTTGCAAACTAGTAAGAAGAAATAACCCAATGGAAAGACAAAAGCATGAATTTACAGTTTACAGAGAGGGAAAAACAAATGGCCCGCACACATAAGTAAAGATACTCCAACAGGCTAGTGATTGGGCACTCAGCAGAGGTTTCACAAATAGATTTTTGGTGGCATTCCTTATCCTCAGAATTCCTATGAATGTTGAACCGGTTTCTGTTCTTTATCATAACCTGTGCCAAATGTTTGGTTCAAAAAGATTAAAAAAAAAAAAAGTCTTTCCTTCACAGAGTTTGTTGGCAAAGAGATAGACGTGGAAATAAATAATTACAAGAAATGATTATAATTCAGTATAAAAATTGCAACAGTATAATGTGGACTGTTTGACTAAGGGCTGTGAGGGCTCGGAAGGGGGACTGCCTAGCCTCCTGCAGAATGCTGTGCAAGAGACAGAGAACAGAGACAAAGTGTATCAGTTATCTGTCGCTACAGTAATGTTATAGCAGAACCACAAAACCTCAGGAGTATACACAACAAGGAACATTTATTTTTGTTCCTGGGGCTATGTTGACTGGCAGTTGTATTGATGGGAACTGGGCTCAGCAAGGCTTACTCATGTGTCTGGTCAGCTGTGGGCTGTCGGTGGCTTTGTGTGTCTTAGCAGGGCTCTCTCACGTGTCTGGACCCTCAGCTGGGACAAGTGGACCGACAACAACAGTGCAGAGGAGGGGGAGAGGGAGGGAGAGAGAGATAGAGGAAGGAAACTCAAGGCTTCTTAGGGCCAAGCCTTGGGACTGAAACGCCTTCACTTTCACTTCGTCCCACACTGGTCAAACCAAATTACAAGCGCAGCCCCGATCCAGGGGAAAATAGATTTTATCTCTGGATGGGAGGAGCTGTAAAGTGACATCGCAAATATGTGTAGATATACAGGCAGAGGGAGAATGGGGGATATCCTGTAATGCAAATTCTGTCATCATGTGCGTTTCTTTGCCTTCCCAGCACCCCTACTTATTTTGGTGGAGCTCCCTCATCTCACTTCATTTGATCCTGGTCAGATTGTCAATCATTTATCTTCTCACGCCCACCACGGTCCTGGGTACAAGACCCAAGCTGGACCAAACAGAACCTTGTCCTGAATTTATAGGTGGTCTCGTGCCCCTCCCCTGCCCCTATGGGGGTTACTGAGCTGGAGAATGTAGATCAGGGGCTGTCTGTCGGGGCAGACCTTCTGCTACTCTGCAGAAGAGAAACTAAGTTGAAAGATGAAAGAGGCAAAGTTCAGATGACATCATTTCAGGCCCTGGCTCAGCCAACCTGGGCTCCTGGGCCTCCAGTTATGGGAGCCAACAAAGCCACCCGCATACACTCTTTTTTTTTTTTTTTTTTAAATCACAAAGCTCTTTCCAGTTAGATTTCTATTCCTGATTGACTTGGGGTGGGGTTCATAGAATGGGTGACATCTGAGCCATGTGCTACTAAATTTGAAAAAGTTGGAAAAGGAGACAGAGGGAAGAAGTGGAAAAGAATTGAGGTTGTGAGAATGAAAAGTAAGTGTCCACATGTGTTCCTACCATTGTTTCAAATAAACAGCCTTTGGAAACTCAGATAGTGTGGAAGCTAAGATGGTGTTTTCCAGCTTTGTTGATGAGGGGACAGGGTGCTGGGGAATTCATGCTAGGCTTGCAAAGGCAAAGGTTGCAAAACACTTGTGTTTTAATGTGGACTTTGAACCGTTTGGGGCACGGTGAAAAGAAAACAATGCTTAAGTCAGCAAAGAAGGGGATGCATTTCTGAGCATACTAAAAGTTCAGTGAGCTGAAGAAAGATCTTGCTGAGTATATCGCCAGATGAATTTTTCCTCACAATAGAACGGGGAATTTAGCGAGAATCATTTTTTTTTTTAAATATTAAGCTTCTAGTGAAAACTTAAGTTCCAGATTATGTTAGGCATTTATGATGATAGAATAAATACACAGTCACATGAATTTGAAAAGGTTGGAAAAGTTCTTGCACACACTCCATGCTCTATTTTTAAGCTAAGTTTTCTTCTAGCATTTTCTTTTCTTTTCTGACCCATCAAACTTCTGTTCATCCTGTGCTTGAGTTCCCACTTCCCATCCGTATGATGGAAGCACGCAGCCCTGGGCTAAGAACACAGGATCTGGAAGCAGACCAGCTTGGCTTCTGAGTCTATCTCTGCCCTGATTGGCTTTGAGACCCTAAACTGACGAGCTCCTTAACTCCTCTGTACCTTAGCTTCTCTGTCTCTGAAGTTTCTATGGTGCTGTTGTGAAGATGACCAGAGAAGACGTATATGCAGACCTTATCAGGGTGCCTGGCCACAGAAGCTCAATGTTAGAGGCTCAATGTTTGAGAGCTGCTGTCGCCCGAGTCCCAGCTTCATGGCCCAGTGAGCACTTCATAAATTTCGTGTGGGCACTTACCTCATACTCTTCCACTATGGTCTTAGAGACCTGTCTTCTCTCTCGACCAAAAACCCTTTTTAAAAATTAAAACAAAACAAAAAACAGCAAAAAAACCCAGCAAAACAAAAAAACAACAGCAATGATCTCGCTCCAAGTTCCATCTCAAGTGTCTAGCACAGTCCAGGGCACGTGGTGGATTTAGTACGTGTTGGCTGAACATGTGGTTAGATCGTGATGTGCCTATTTTATGATCTACGGTCTTCATTTAA